TCTCCGCCTCCCTGGTCTGCAGGGAGATGGGGAGCAAAGCCTCGGCGCACACCAGCAGTGGGACAGCCGCGGCGCGCCTGGACTGTCCTACTGCCCGCGTGCTCTGCGGCTTTGCTCTGCCCCGGGCTTCCTGGAATCAGCTGCTGATCAGTTTTAGCAGCAGCTGACTTGGGGATGCCTGGGGTTCTTAAGTTGAATCTGTATGTAAGTCAGAACTGGTGTCCAGATTCAGCCGCTGTTGAAACTGATCAGTTTCAGCAGAGGCTGAATCTGGATGCCAGTTCCGACTTATATACAGATTCAACTTAAGAACAAACCTACAGTCCCTATCTTGTACGTAACCCGGGGACTGCCTGTACAACGAGATGTAGCCCGTGCTCCAAATTATCTCATTTGAAAAGGTACTTTGGGCTATTGAAGGGATTTTGTTATAAAGTTGGAGTGGTATTTCCAAGAGGTGGAAACCAAAGTAAAAAGTTGATTGGTCCAAGGGTAGGGAGCAGCAAGCAGGAGAGGTTGAAGGCCACAGCCAGCAGGCGAGAACATGAACAGGTCTATGCTACAGTGAAAATCACAACATAATATTGTCTTGCAGAGAGTTTTTAGACATTCAGAATTCCAGACAGGATATGTCTATCTCTGTGTCAGATATGGACTGTTGAAGCCTGTCAGCTTTATCTTGTATTATTTTCCATTGTTCCTTAATAAGTTAGACCCAGTGTTCTGAATAGGGGTTTCATTTGTGTTCTGTGTGACTCCCACTGTGAAGTTCTGATAGTTAATGAGTCAAGAAGATACCAAGGGAGTGGGGCGGTATCCATCTTGTTATATATATGTAAGTGGAACCTCTCTAGTCCAGTGCCCTCAGGATCTGACCAGTGTTGAACTAGAGAATTTTCTGGACCACGGGAGGTCAATATTGTCTAGCAGGATTACCAATACTTCCATTACTTACTGGGCTGTTAGAGGACATTTAGGGGCAGATTTGTTCTAAATAACAGCACAGAACACTGAGGCTATGTCTAGACAGCATCCCTCTGCCGACAGAGGGATGCAAATCAAGCACTTTGGAAGTGCAAATGAGCCTAGGATTTAAATATCCCAGGCTTCATTTGCATACTCGCGTTCTGAGTTCATTAGCTCACAGACATTTACCTCCCCCCCTTCCCCCTCTCCATCCCCCTTCTGTTCTGAAATTTGATTTGTCCTTTTCATATGTGTTCATTTTTTTAATTGTATTCTTTGGTATATATGGTTGTGACAATTTTCTTCCACTATTTGATCTGAGGAAGTGGGTCTGGCCCACAAAAGCTCATCACCTATTAAACCATCTTGTTAGTCTTTAAAGTGCTACACAGTCCTGTTTTTTGTTTCCTATAATTATATGGTGAGGGAGACTTTTTGAATGTTTCTATTCTAATACTCTCCCAGTTTAAAAGAAAATAATTGAAAATGCCCAGCCAGCAATTTACAGATTGTTCAGTAATCCTTTTCTAACCAGTCCCCAGGCTAGTGGAAAGTTATAGAAGGTTTGAGGCTTACCCCACAGAAAAACTTCTCACAGATGGTGCTTACAAAAATGTAGTATTAAAAAACTCTAGTTTTTAGACTTTAGCATTGTAAGTTACTGTTAGTTGCTTTTAAGCTTTTAGTGTTTTGACACTGTCTGATGGTCTGAAATGAAACATGTAACTTGGTATCTGTACATAAAGAATCAGCTTTGACATCACTGTGGACTGGGGGTGAGAAGAGGATTTGGGGCACTGTGCCATCACTCCAGCATCCTGATTTATGGGCAAGCACAAGCAAATCCCCTGCTAGGCCTCAGTCACATTCTAATTGAAGGTGAGACTATCTTGGATTTCCTGCCTTCCTGTTGAACAGGAGGCATTTTCCTTCCTATCTGAGGTTATCCCTCAGCATAAGTAATACTGCTTGCACTGTATGGGGGGAGGAGCAATTCTTTCATCACAGAACCACTTCTTACTTCTGTTGTGTATCAGTCACCTCCAGCTGTTTGCCATCTGTTTATTCCAGGTGTTTACCAGTCTGATGATGTAACTCACTTTGGAGTAACTCCAATCAGAGCAGCACCCTGAATTTGATAAGGGAGCTTAATGGGCTTGACAAGATCAAAGTGTTTTCATGGTAAAATTATAGTTTAATTTTCTGAAAGTGAATTTTCTGTTTCTTCCTTTATTGTCCCTATTAAAGCAGGCCAAAACATTAAACTATGTATCAGCATTGCACAAAAAGGAAGGAAAAACAGAGCTTCACATATGCTTTTTCAAAATCATTTTTTTTTACCTTTCAGCATTTTATGTTTTTCCTTTTGTGAAGCAATATTATTTGACTTCTTGATCTGCTACATGGATTTACTTCCCAACTGAAAGTATTTATCTAAGAAAACAGGCTTAATTATGTGTATAGATACCTTTGAACTTACCCAGTCCAAATGATTACTATAAACTCTGTTAATACTATAGACTCTAAGCATATATGTATCTATCTTGCTGACATGCACCAACATGTTGAAGTTACTGAATTTGTCAGTTGGTGAATAATAACATTTTTACCTCCACGTACTTAAAGCAAGCAGGCCATACTGGAAGCCTTGATTTTAGCCATTTTGTGATGTCTTAACACTTACTGCACATGCACTCCACTAGTATGTCTGATCCTCCCTTTCACCAGTTTTGGTTCACTTTGTAAATAGCTCCTAGGGTGCTTCAAAATCATGTTTCCAAAAGTTTGGGGTTATTCCCAAATTACTATGCCCAACTTGCACCTGAGAAACTCCAGCTGGCTGTAATAGCAATGGTTATAACTGAGGAAGGAAGGAGACCCGAACAAAAGATTTCTGGGAGCTCCATCCAGCATAAAAGGGAGGCAGGGAGGATGAGAGAACTGGTATTTTCTTGGAAATGTTGAACAGTTTTCTTCAGATCCAAGGGCATTCCATTCCCCATCCTTGTCTTGGGCATCTCCCAGTTGGAGCTTGACTCTGAGGCTCAATCTACCCTTGAAAGGGTTTCCCAGAATAGTTTATACAAGCTCCTCAACCAAAATAAGCAATACAGGCAGTCCCCGGGTTACATGGATCCGACTTACATCGGATCCCTACTTACAAACAGGATGAGGCAACCCCGCACTAGCTGCTTCCCCCCAGCAGACCAGGGAGACGCGGAGCGGCTTTTCTCAGCAGACACCTCAGCTTGAGAATAAAGGACTGAGGGAACTGAGGTGTGGGAGAATAAAACTGAGCTCTGGAGAAATGTTTGGCTAGAGTTTCCCCTACAATATGTACCAGTTCCGACTTACATACAAATTCAACTTAAGAACAAACCTACAGTCCCTATCTTGTACGTAACCCGGGGACTGCCTGTACTGTCAAAGGACTTTCTCACTGTATCACTGCATCTGTACTACGGCTTTTTGCTTGTGTAAACATGTCATGGAGAATCACATTCCTCTTTGACATTATTGTACTGGCAAAAGTGTGTAGTAGACTCCTTGCTGGAGACACCCCCTCTAAATTGCTGTCATGTGAACTAATTTGTGGAAGGAGGGTGGGATTTGGGTGTATGCTGAACTAATCCACTCTGATAGGTGGTTTGCCACTTCAGGTTCAAGGTTCTCTGCTGTGATTGGATGGGCTTGAAGTTTTGGGTTGCTCCTGCAGTATAAAGTGCCACTTTGTACAGGGAGCCTTAAAAACAGTTTTAACGGTGAAGACCAGCTAGGAAGAAGTATTTGTGATGATAACTTATGTATACTTGTGTCCCATAATCATCGTCCTGTGTGTGATATTTGGGATTGTTGATGTTTTATTTTTGAGGAAAAATTAGCAGATTTACTTTTGTTTAAAAATAAATAAGTCTGGCCTCTTGTAGCTGTTTGAGCCAATTGACTCGCAAAGCAGCAGACAGGCAATGTGAGCAGAAAGTTATTGAGGGAGGAAAGATGCCTTCTCTCTTCACCATGGCTTGGGAGAGGCAGGGAAATTGCATGTTACTGTAAAGAATGTGGGGACCCTATGGCATAAAGCTTTGGAATGAGAGTGCTTCATATGCTCCATAAGATTTGTATTAAGGTAGTGACCATTTTTGCCCTCTGCCCATTTATGCATAAGGACCACAGATGTTTAAGAAATGAAATAAACAAGAAACTCATGGGTGAAAAAAACAGATGGCTTTTTATCAGCAAGAATGAACCTATTTTTTCTTTTTCCCCTCCCTTTTCCCTCCCTTTTATTCTAGAAGCCCTTCAGAGGCCAGTAGTATCAGATTTTGAACCCCAGGGTCTGAGTGAAGCGGCCCGTTGGAACTCCAAGGAAAATCTCCTGTCTGGTCCTGGTGAAAATGACCCCAATCTTTTTGTTGCACTGTATGATTTTGTGGCGAGTGGAGACAACACTCTCAGCATAACTAAAGGTAAGATATCTCCAGAGGGTGCTTTAGAGCATCTGTGAGAAGGAATAAGAAAATCAAGTCAGTCAGGAATATCTGAGTTTATAATCCCTATGAAACACATCAGTGTAATCATTGTAGTGGAAATTGTCCTAAAACAAATGAAAACCTTTCACAAAGAGCCTTTGAAACAAGATAGTCTGCTTAAAGTATGTATTGAGGGAGGAAAATTGTATACAAAAATTAAACCCTTCAAAGGAAGCAAGGATTTAAAGATGGATTAAACCTTAATGGTTTTTTAGTTCTTTTTAGAGTATGGTCTGTAGCTTTATAACTGTTTCATTAAAATGAGCTCTTCTCTGAAAAGTGACAATATAAAAATATCTGCTTCTTACTCAGAGGTTTTGCTCTGTGTGTACTTGAAACCATATCTCCTTGCCTTGCTAATCTCCTATTTCTCCCATCTGTTAGCCCTGCAGAGCCAATGTAGCTCAGGCAGAGTTTGCTGGGTTCTGTTCTGGTTCATGCATTAACTTTAGGCCTTTGAGTCTAGCAAGGCATGTAAGCGCATGTGTAACTTTAAACATGCAAGTAGTCCCAATGACTTTGATGCATATGCTTGAGCATGTACATGTCTAAGTCTCTTGTGGATCAGTACTTCTGTTCTGATTGCAGAATCTTGGACGATGATGTGAGAGCCAGAAGGAATACAGCTTTACACTCGGATCCCAGATTTGCCATGTCTAATTATGTTTTGTTTTTATGTGAAGGTGAAAAGCTCCGTGTCTTGGGCTACAATCATAACGGGGAATGGTGTGAGGCCCAAACGAAGAATGGGCAGGGCTGGGTGCCAAGTAACTACATCACCCCAGTGAATAGTTTGGAGAAACATTCCTGGTACCATGGACCAGTGTCACGCAATGCCGCTGAGTACCTCCTGAGCAGCGGAATCAATGGCAGCTTTCTGGTGCGCGAGAGCGAGAGCAGCCCAGGACAAAGGTCTATATCACTAAGATATGAGGGAAGGGTGTACCACTACAGGATAAACACTGCTTCTGATGGAAAGGTACGAGTTAAGCCTCACAAACTGAAACAAAAAACCCATTATGGTCCACTTCAGCTGCCAGCTGTAGAAAGGGCCCAGTACAGCCTCCACAGAATCAACTGAAGGGTTTGCCATTGACTTTAGCAGGAGTAAAATCAGGTCCTACATACTGACCTACAACATCTAAACAAGGAGCACATCAGATGATGATATAACCATTTGGCAGCAGAGCTTTGAGAAAACCTTCTCCCTTTAACAAACTCCTAAAAAATATGAGTATATCTCAGTCGTGAAAACCATGGGCCATGTAACTCCATTAATGTTTTGAGTGGAGTTGTATCAGAGATGAATTTTGTTCCATTGATTCTAATACTGCAAGTTGGGCTTAAAAGACACTGTCAAGTTTAAAGATAATGTATTTTAAAAATAGTCTCATCTGTGTAACCACTTCAGGTTATTGGAACCAAAATAATTGTAAAACTATCATGTTCTATCATTACAGAGTTAAGGTGGGTGAGGTAATCTTTTATTGGTTCAACTTCTGTTGGTGAGAGACACAAGCTTTAGATCCACACAGAGCTCTTCTTTGGGTCTGGAAATCCCTGTTAAATGACACTTTTAAACAAACTTGGAATCCCAGACCTAGAGAAGAGCTCTTTGTCAATTCAAAAGTTTGCGTCTCACCAATAAAAGTTGTTCCAGTACCCCACTGCATCTTTCTAATATTCCAGGTCCAATACAGCCACAGAGTTCTTATTTCATATACTCATTTTTTGCTTTTAGTCTTCTGCATTTCATCTTACATAATGAAAGGAAGGTTAAGCACTGTAATTTCACTTTTGTTTATGGCCAGGTTCTTGTCTCTTTCACTTTCAGGTTCTTGTGCATTTGCAAGTGCTGCTGTAATCAGCTTGTTTTGGAAAATATTGTTTTGAATTAATCTAAATGTGAGGTCAAATTGCATCATGCAGTATTTCTTTAAATCCATTCTAAATTGGATGTTGCAGTATAACTTGGGGGGGTCTAGCTGTTGCTGTTCTCCGAGGCCCTTGCTGTCAGCATCTAGTTCTAGTAGCTGAAAGATCCTTTGCCATTTAAAAATAAATTCATTTAAAAAAAAATCAGCAGCAAGAGATTCTGTGGTCCTGGTCGAGGCCAACTTTCCTTTGCCCAGTAAGGGCCTGCGCCTTTTGATATCAATGACAAAACTTTATTTGATTTTCACTGATGCAGGATCAGGTCAGCAAAACAAACTAGTTTCTGCAGTGAGTGTGTAATGGCTTCTCTATTTGTCTAACTCATCACAGTGCAAAACAAAATATGAAAGAAGCTTTTAGAAAAGCAAATGTTCTTTAAAGAAAATGCTGTTTGTCTGCTTTAATGAAAGCTTTGTAATTAGGGTAATGTGATAAGGTTTGCAAGGTAATGTGTGGGTACTGCGTTTTTTTCCTTTTTCCTCTCCTCTTCTCTCATCATTCAGCATGCAGCCAGGCTCCACATGATTGAAATTAGCAAAGTGAAATGGTCTATGCTATATACTTAGAGCATATATAGGTAACACTTAGTTTGTGGCAAGCTGGGGTTTCACACTAGTCTGTATGTACCTCACACTAGCCTACTGCTACTATGTGTTCATGTGGGCCCTTGCTGCCACGCTCTAAGTAGCACTCTTTGATGTACCATGCTTTAACCCAAATCTCTCAGCCCTGATAATGTATCCATACTGTACTTCAGACCATCTATCTGCAGCTTGAACTGTGTCCACACTAGGGATAGAATCATATAACACTAGAACTGGAACTTGAGAAATCGTCAAGTCCATTCCCCTGCCCTCGTGTCAGGATCAAGCACCGTTTGATCATCCCTGATAGATGTCTATCAAAACTGCTTTTAAATATCTCCAGTTATGGAGTCACAGCTTCCCAAAGCAATTTATTCCATTGTTTAACCACCCTGACAGCTAGGATGTTTTTCCTGCTGTCTAACCTAAGCCTCCCTTGCTTCTTATCCTATCATCAGAGGCCAAGGAGAACAATTTTTTTCCCTCCTCCTTGTAACACCCTTTATGATGCTTGAAAACTGCTGTCATATCCCCTTTCAGTCTTCTCTCTTCTAAACTAAACATGCCCAATTCTTTCAGTCTTCCCTCGTAGCTCATGTTCTCTAGACCTTTAATCATTTTTTTTTGTTGTTTTTTGGACCTTCACCAATATCTCCACATCTTTCTTGAAATATGGTGCCCAGAACTGGAAACTGTACTCCCAACTGAGGCCTAATCAGTGCAGAGTAGAGTGAAAGAATCGCTTCTCGAGTCTTACTCACAAAATAGTGATAGTGTAAACACGTACACGGTTAACCAATGATCTGGGCTCACAAGTAAACCTTCACAGTTATAGGCAGTCCCCTCTTCCCCCCCCCCCCATTCCTCTGTGCACACTGATACAGAGGCAGCAGCCAGGGGGTGGCGCCCTCTTGCGTGTAAACCCGTGGTCACCAACCCATCAATCGCGATCGACTGGTCAATCGGGAAGGCTCAACCAGTCGATAGCGAGGTGTTCGGAGGCCCTCCCATTTTTCCCTCACCCCCAAGAAGTCCCACTACCTACCTCCAGTGACAATGGAGGTAGTGCTAGTTTCCTGCGGGGTGGAAGGAAGTCTGGTAGCTGTCAGTCACTTCCAGGGTTTCAGGAAGTGCGCTGGCTGCTCCCCCTCCCCCAAACTGCCAGCACAGTACCACAGCCCATGTCTGTGAAACCCTAGGGACTTGCTGTGTGGGGTAGGAGTCCTTGGAGGAGGTGTGCGTCAAACAGCCGGCACGTCACAAGAACCCAGGTCTGTGGCATGCTAGGGACATCCTGCATGGGGGGAGGGGAGGTGGTAGGAGTCCGCAGAGAAGGCAAACGCTGCAACTTCCTTCCCCTGCGGAGGAGGGAGGGGATAGGAGCCCCAGGAGGAGGCACGTACCAGGGGCTGCCTTCTCCTGCACATGGGGGGAGGAAGGGAAATAAGAGTCCCAAGAGGAGGCACTGGGCCCCGCTCCCACCAACATCCTGTCCCCCTGCTGCAGCACCTTGTTTCCTGCCCCAGCACCCACCGGCACCCTCCCCTGTCCCCTGCTTCAACACCCCCTGGCATCCTGTCCCCAGCCCCCACCAACACCCTGTCCCCTGCCGCAGCACCCTGTCATCTGCCTTAGCACCCACCAGCACCCTGCCACCTGCCCCAGTGTCCACTAGCACCCTTCCCCGGTACCTTGTCCCCTGCCCCTACCAGCACAGTTGGGGCCACATTAGTGAGGCTTGGGAGGTTTTGGATTTTTTTGCATCTCACTTTTGTGGCCCCAACTGACTTTTCTGTGGGTTAGTGGCCCCTGGCTCATAACAGGATCCCTGCCCCTCTCATAAATAAAGACAATGCTGAAACTTTTTGTGTTTGACATAATATTTTATTTAAAAATAAAACCTGGCGAACAAACCCCCAATTGGGGCCAAGCCCTCATCTGACTGCAGCATCATTACGCTCCTGTACTGCCCCTCCAAGCCCAAATCTGAGCCTGTCATCCACTGGAACCCCCTGTCCTGAGCCTCTCACATCCCCAAACTCCTGCACCCCCACATCCCCAGTCTTCTGCCACAACACTTTTGCACCATCCACACACCGCAAATCTGTGTCCTGAGCCCATTATACTCCCACTCTCCCTGCCCTGAGCCCCTCACACACTCCAACCCAAACTTCTGCACCCTCACAGCCACAAGCCTGTGGCTTTCTCATCACCCCAGCACTGCACCTGACCCCAACATTCCCCGCCTTGAGCCCCCTCCCTGAGCCAGCATCCCCTTCTCCACATCCCCCTGCATCCAAATTCCCTCCCAGAGCTTGCACCTCTCACCCCTTTCCACACACAAATCCCTTATTCCCACACCTCCTATCTCAACCCAGTGAGGGTATGGCTAGACTACGAGTTTTTCTGGGATACCAGAGGTATCCCGGAAAAACTCTTCCATATCCAGGGACACATTTGTTCTTTTGCTTATTTTAGTGGAAGAGCAACCATGCTCTTTTAGCAACCCCTGTATTCCTCACTCCACGAGGAATAAGGGGGCTTCCGAAAGAAGGGGGTTTTCTGACATTTGACCCAGTGTAGACAGGGCCTACAGAGGAATAAAAAAAAAAGTGGCAGTGTATCCAGTTAATCCATAGGAGCTGGAACAACTCCCCGCCAACCACAGGCAGGGGTTGTTCCCCCCAGGGTCTTGGGGAAGGGATGGGGTAGATGTTGGCTTGTTCTGACATTTAAAATATGATCTTGGGCGTAAAAAGTGTGGAGACCACTGGTGTAAACGCATTTTAACTTCCCTGCAAAATGATGGATCCAGATCACAGAAGGACTCGGGTCTTTCTTTCCCCGACCCCCTGCTTCTTTCAATAGTGTTCTAGAATCCGGGTCCTTACTGCTTGCTTACCAAAGTCAGACCATTTGAGTTTTGACAGAAATGGAGCTTGGACTCCAAACTGAATCTGAGCCAGTAGTTAGCGTGCAGTAAAGACTTATCCTAAGTAGGGATGTTAAAATGCATTTATTTGTGTATAGGTTGAAATTTTCAGCAATTACACGTTTACACACAGGCGGGAGACAGGAGCCAGTGCTCACAGGGAGCCAGCTGTTAAACCAGCTCCCCATGAGCACCAACTCCCCCATGCTGCTGCTGTTGTACCAGCATACTCCCCATGGGCACAAGCTCCAACCTGTCCCGCACTCCTACCTGCTGCCTATGATACAAAGGTAGCAGCGGAGGGGAGGGGGTGCTGCTACGTGTAACCGTGAGGGTTAATCAGTGAGCTCAGGCTCATCAGTTAACCATATACTCGGGTACACATTCACATCCCTAATCCTAAGTGTTCACATAGACAAGCTCTGTGAAAGAAGTTTAAAGGACGGTTGGGAATAGGAATGTGAATGGGTAACTGTTTAACCAATAAGCCTCAGTCTTAATGGATGAATCTTACCAGGTTTTCTGACA